AAAAAAAGAATTCAAAGCATGGTTTGGAGGTATCAAAATCCAATAAAACATAAAAGAATATTTTAAGTAATAAAATCAAACCTTTGCTCCTATAACTTATCAAGTTAATCACAAACCTTAATTTCATTAAATTTTAAACAGTGGCCAGAAAATGTAGCTTCTCCAGAGCTTTCAAAAGCTAAAATATCAGCCTGCTTAATTGCCTTGACCTCCTTAGCAACAGATCCCATAGCCTTTCCCAATCTGACACCTAAGATGCTGTATATAGAGTAATACAAAAAAAAGAAATAATTAAATAAATAAAAAGGTTTATCATGGTTATTTAAGCCTGAACCATGGCATAAAAAGACCAAAAGTTATAAACTGCACCTGTAGTCTGGTTCGGCTCTTAAAGATGTGTATTTCAATGTATCGTTGCAAGGAAGGATTGCTTTTACATTAAGCTCCTCAAGTACATACTTCATAGATAGGAAATCGTTAGTATCAACTCCAAAATCTTCAGATAAAGTCTTACAACTAGAAAATGTTTCAAATACTAGCACACAAAGAGTGATGGTGATGCAGACCAACCTTTGTTTCAGAACTATTCAAGAGAACACTTCATCTTTTATATTCTCTTGCCCTTATTTTCCTTAAGCATTTACTACTAGCACACAAAGAGTGATGGTGATGCAGACCAATCTTTGTTTCAGACTATTCAAGAGAGCACTTCATCTTCTATATTCTCTTGCCCTTATTTTCCTTAAGCATTTACAATTAGTTATTAATTGCATAACCAGTTACAGCCACTTGTTGGTCGACTCATCTTTTCAGCTATATGTATGGTTTGGAGAAAATTAGTAGGCATTGGATATTTTCTAGAAAAAGGACATTTACGAGTATATACAATTTACTCCTCTATTTTTAACTTCCCACAGGTAAATACCAAAGTTGTGTCAAACCGGCGAGTGACGACGATCACAGTTGGGATGAGTTGCGAGAAGCCCAATCAGCTCTAGATCGCAAATTTGATGATATTTCCACAAGAATTCGGTTGCTCGTAACTGAAATGAAAAGTGAACTGTGCAATCTCAGAAATGGTGGCTTCATACATCCGGCAATCTTACCGGTAGATCCAGCAAACCTCGCTGGATATGGAGAAACCACTGAGATAAACCTAAATCAATGACACAACCCATACAATTTGCCACAAAATTCTTATTATCATGATCTGGGAGACAAATCCATTCACCATCGACGAGCAATCCTATTTGATTCCGAGTCCGAGGAGAAACCAATTCCTATATAACACCAACACCATAATCATCATTTGTTCCATCGCACACCTGGAGAATTCAAAATGAAAATCGATATAACCATTTTTTATGGTCGTTTACACGTTGAGGATTGTTTGGACCGGGAACAATATGTAGAAAATTCTTCGAATATTTGAAAATTTCACCAGATAAACAAGTGAAATATGCGGCTTGTAGGCTAAAAGGAGATGCAGGATCATGGTGGATTCAATTAAATCAGCATTGTCATAGAAGGAAAAGGATATGTGCGTGGTTGGCATCGAATGAAATAACTACTTCGCGGCCACTTCCTTCCTACTGATTTCAAGCAAATGTTATATATTCATTACCAAAGATGTGAGCAAGGAACATAAACTGTTAGTTCTTATACAGAAAAATTTAACATGTTGTGTGCATGCAATAGCCTGAACGGATCCAATCATTAATTGGTTGCTAATTACGTTGGGGGTTTGAAGGAGAACATCCAGGATCGATCCAATACAAACACATTACCGCCACATGAATATGGCTAGTGATACAACGTTGGAAAAACTTAAGGAACCTTCTAATGTTGTCGAGGGTATCCAATCTCAATCAGCAACTACTATACCAGCAATAAATCCTCCAACTGGAAAACAACCATCAAACAAAGACTAGCTATGTCAGACTACGACCATCAATATCCTTTAGGTGCCTTCAACCTTGTCATAGATCCAATGATTGTCTGAATCGGAAGAAACTTCAGTTGTTAGATGCTGACAATGAATATGAAGAAACTGAAATCATCCAAGAATCTCAAACCATGGACGAATTATCGACCGATGAGGGAGAATTTCTTTCGTGCAACCTTGAAAAGGTATTGCTAGCTCCTAGAAAACCTATTAATACTCAACGCCATGTGATTTTCAAGACCCGGTGTACAATCAATGGCAAAGTATGTGATATTATCATTGATAATGGATGTACTGAAAACATAATTTCAAGAAAAGCAGTTAAAGCATTATATTTAAAGACCACCAAACATCTCAATCCTTAAAAAATTAGTTGGGTTCGAAAAGGTGTTGATGTATCAATTAATGAATCTTGCAAAGTAACTTTTTCAATCGAGAAAAACTGTGTGATATCTTTGAGAAGGACGTTTATCACCTAATACTAAGTCAGCCATGGAAATTTGATATGGGGGCAATCTATGATTGTAAGGCTAATGCTTATTCTTTTGAACGGAAAAACAAAACAATTCAACTGCTTCATATAGATCCTACTCTTAAATGTCCTATAACAAATAACGTTGGATTCTTGACAGTACCTGGAAATCATATTATTACTCAATTCAAGGAGTGTTTATTTGCAATTTTGGACACCGAATCATGCAATTCACGGCAAAAATTTCCTACAGTTTTATCAAAACTGCTCTCACAATATCAAGTTATATTTCCAAAGGACCTTCCAAATCAAATGGTTCCATCCAGCACCC